GCCTGTCCCCGCTCCTCACCTCCCGCGGAGCTGGATGGCCTCCTCAAACCTCTTCTCATCCATGGCCTTCTGCACATCCTTCGTCTTGGGGAAGGGAGGGGGAGACGCAGCACCATCAAACCCAGGCTTTGGAGGGGAGGGGGAGCAGGGGACCCCCCCACCCAGCAGGTAACCCCCCCCAACCAGGGTACTCACCACCTGGACACACTCCATGAGGGGCAGCCGCACCGACTGGTTCCCCGAGAGGCTCACCACGCAGGCGGGGGTGTCCGGTGTGGCCTCCAGCAGCGCCATCACCGCCTCCATCCCCATCTTGCTGCTCTGCAACAAGGCAAAAGTGGGGGGGCACCATCCCCCCCACCCCCAGCTGGGGTGGGACACCTCCCCGGGAGTGGAAACCCCCCCTAAAATTTGCAGGAAATGAGGGGAATCGGGCGCATGGCTCTGCCCTGGGGAACCTCATCCCTCTCTGCCCAGAAGCAGGGGGGTTCCCCAGCTGCCTGCTCCCTTCTGTGGGGTGACCCCCCCCCCCTTTTTTTGTTTTTGGGGTGTGTGTGTCCTCTCCCGAGACCCACCAGCACCCGGTCGAAGGCTGAGGGTGTCCCTCCCCGCTGCACGTGGCCCAGGACGGTGACGCGCGTGTCGAAGCCCAGGCGCTGCACCACCAGCTGCAGAGAAGAGGGGAGCAAGGGGGAGGTGGGGGGTGTCAGACCCGGGAGGGGGGCACGGGACCCACCGTGTCACCGCTGTGTCACCGCGGGAGGGGGGGCTTACGTCCTTCACGTAGTTGGAGGAGATGGGTTTGCCGCTGCGGTCGATGGCGCCCTCGGCGATGATGATGATGTTGAGGCGCGACCCTCGGCTGCGCGTCTGGGGTCGAGAGGAGGAGAAAGGCCACCACGGCTCAGCCCAAGCCCACCGGTGGCCGAGCACCAGCACCCTTTGTCCCCCCGGACACTCAGGTTGTGGGTGGCCGAGCCCCCAAGCCCCCCCTCCCCGGCACAGGAGGGCTGGATTTACACAGATTCATGGAATTGTCAGAGTTGGAAGGGACCTTCTAGAGATCATCCAGTCCAACTCCCCTGGGACCCACCGTGTCACCGCTGTGTCACCGCGGGAGGGGGGGCTTACGTCCTTCACGTAGTTGGAGGAGATGGGTTTGCCGCTGCGGTCGATGGCGCCCTCGGCGATGATGATGATGTTGAGGCGCGACCCTCGGCTGCGCGTCTGGGGTCGAGAGGAGGAGAAAGGCCACCACGGCTCAGCCCAAGCCCACCGGTGGCCGAGCACCAGCACCCTTTGTCCCCCCGGACACTCAGGTTGTGGGTGGCCGAGCCCCCACCGGCACAGGAGGGCTGGATTTACACAGATTCATGGAATTGTCAGAGTTGGAAGGGACCTTCTAGAGATCATCCAGGCCAACTCCTCCTTGCCCAGAGCACATCACTCAGGAGCATCCAGGTGGGGCTTGAAGATCTCCAGAGAAGGGGACTCCACACCCTCCCTGGGCAGCCTCTGCCAGGGCTCTGACACCCTCACCCCAAACAAGTTCTTCCTCAGATTGGAGTGGAACTTCCCATGGTCCAGCTTGTGCCCGTTGCCCCTCGTCCTGTCACTGGGAACCACTGGAAAGAGTCCGGCGCCCTCCTCCTTCAACCCACCCTTTGGATCCTTGGAAGCATTAACAAGGTCTCCTCTCAGCCTTCTCTTCTCCTGGCTCAGGAGCCCCAGCTCTCTCAACCTTTCCTCATCAGGGAGATGCTCCAATCCCTCCATCATCTCTGTTGCCCTACGCTGGACTCTCTCCAGCAGTTCCCTGTCTCTCTTGAACTGGGGAGCCCAGAACTGGAGGCAGTATTCCAGTTGTGGCCTCCCCAGTGCAGAGCAGAGGGGGAGAATGACCTCTCTTGACCTGCTGGCCACACTTCTCCTTACGCAGCCCAGGATCCCATTGGCCCTCTTGGCCACAAGGGCACATGGCTGGCCCATGGAGATCCTGCCATCCACCAGGACTCCCAGATCCTTTTCCTCAGTAGCACTTCCCAGAAGAACCACCCCTAACCTGTACTGGTTCCTGAGGTTCTTCCTCCCCAGGTGCAGAACCTTACACTTGCCCTTGTTGAACCTCATGAGGTTCTTCTCTGCCCAGCTATCCAGCCTGTCCAGGTCTCGCTGGATGGCAGCACGGCCCTCTGGAGTGTGGGCCAGCCCCCCCAGTTTGGGATCATTTGCGCTCGGCTGAGCGGCCCGTTTCACAGGGACAATGGCAGGAGCTCCCGAAGCTTCCCGGGGGCCTGGAGCCATCCATGGGGCTCAGCCCGCGTCCCTGCGGGGACTCTACGGGGACAAAAAGGGGGACAGGACCCTCAGACACCCACCCCCCAACCCCCCGGCTCACCTCCCCGAGCCTCTCGCACATGAGGTCCTCCCAGCCGTCCTCTGGAGGGGATTCGGGGATGAAGAGCCAGTCGGCCCCCGAGGCCAAGCCGGACACCAGCGCCAGGTACCTGTGGGGAGGGGGACACGGGGGTGGCAGTGCCAGCACCAAGACCAGCCCCAAAATGCTCCTTCCCCACCCGCCGGGGGCTTACCCGCAATGGCGGCCCATCACCTCCAGCACGAAGGTCCGCTGGTGGCTGCAAGGAGAGGGGTGGGAGGAGAAGGAAGGAGG